ACGTTATTTAATATTTATTATTTTAAATAACTTCTTCTGACTTATTTCTTATTTAATACTTTAAATATTTAATATTTTAAATATTTTAAATAAGTTTTTAGAACTTATTTTATATTTTTTATGTTAAATAAGTTATATCAGTTTTTTATTGCTTTTATATTTTAAATAAGTTCTTCGAACCTATTTTATATTTTTTATTTTAAATAAGTATCAATTACTTTACCGATCTTACGATTTTATATTTTAAATAAGTTTTTGAAACTTATTTTCTACTTTTTATTTTAAATAAGTTATATTGGTTATTTTACCGAGCCCTACTCATAAGTAATTTCCATAACGCTATAATTCATCGTGGTTTGTAGCATGGCTCAATACACAAACTCGCTTCGCTAAATTACTATAAATTACTTGATCGACTACCCCGGGTGCGAACAGTATGCAACAAACCAGGGGCAATTATCTGCAAAACTTCGTTATACAGAACACGGAGCGAATGAAAGAGCATTAAACTGTTGGAATAATATAATAACGGAATGGCCACCCGGATGATCCCGCGCGACGTTTTATTTCTCCAACGGAACGGCCGCGCCATGAAAAATTATAATTGATATGGACGGACCGGAAACCGAGAGGGAATAATCCGAAGGCGAATGCTCGTGGAAAGGTAGACGGCGGGAAAAGAATCGCCGGTCCGTTGAACTAGAATACAAAAGTCGGCTGGAGACTTATGAATTAAAGGAAATGTCAGTTTCGACCGTGCTGCGAAACGTTTCGTAGAAAAAAGGGACTCTTTTCTTTAACGAGAATGCACATTTCTACTATTAACGTGTGATTAACAACCACGTTATATTATGATGTTTAAGTGCTGAAAAAGATACAATAATTCAATTTAATTACTATGTATTCTATATAATTTTTAAAAACGTTTTAAAATAATAATATATATAAATCACGATTTATTCGACAAATTCACAATAATTAGCAATATGACAACTTTATTTAAATAAGAAATTAAATGTTAATCGCGTTGTTATTACTGATTTCCGGATTATGTTAAAAATTGAAGAACAAAAAATAGACACTCTTTAGGAATAAATTTATGAAATTTATCTGTTTACACGAGAATATGAATAAGAAATAAATTTTAAAAATAGTTCTATTTGCAGCAACAGCATAAGATAATTTGATAGTGTAATAAATATGTATAAATTAATAATTATTTTAATCTCATATACAAAGTGTTCAAGATTAAAAAATAAATAAAAATATCAAAACAAAACAATTTCGTAAAACATGTTTAAAAAAAAGCCTGTACGATCTGAAAAAAGAAATAAATAATGATAAATTATTAAAAAATTGGTGTTTCGAAATCACATGAAGAAAGTTACTATCAATTTTTAAAACTTTTATTATTTATATAAATAATATTTTTTTAAATAAATGTTTTGTTATATA